TGTTAACTCTGTTTTTTCCTTCACAGATGCTGCCAGACCTGCTGAGCTTTTCCAGCAACTTTGTTTTTGTTCCTGATTTACAGCATCCACAGTTCTTTCGATTTTTATTAGGTCATTTTAGCTGCAGTTTACCACATGCCAAATATTTTCGAGCACATTTTTGTTTATCTGACAAACAAACATCAAGATAATTCCATAAGTGTTGCTTGTAAGAGCATTCTTTTCATTGTAGCTTACTCTGTCATCATTGGGAATGGCAAGGAGACAGTGGTTACATCACAGTCTCCTTCATATTAGGTAAAGGGACAAATTAATTTCTTTGTCTGTGATCTTAATTAAGCTTATTGGGTTGTTACATTCTCATGAGATGTTGACCCTATGCGGTGATGCTGTTCCATTTGAAAGAATGGCATCTAAGACTTTGCAACATGCAGAAAGAAATCATAATTAAGTTCCAGTAAGAACAAACAAAGAATTCTCGCATTTCAAAGCTCCAGAGAGCCTTAATGTATAAGAGCTGCTTGAAACATCAAAATCACAAAAGTCTAGCAGCTACCCATTGTTGTCGCTTCAGCAAATTGATCCATTGCTTGTGTTCAATCCTTTGTATCAAATTGGAGAGGTGAACTAGTGATAACAGACTATCGTTAAATGCATCTGAAGTTCAAGTAATGACTAAAGACAACAAGCAGAAATATCATTGAGCTGAAACATGAGCTCTGTTTTTCTCTTCAAACATGCAGGCAAGAGCTGCCAAGCAGTTCCAGGGTTTTCTGAGTTTGTTTTTCCAGATTTCCAGCATCTGCAGTAATGTTCTATGTTCCTCGGTTGACATTGCTGCACTATTAATGCATAAATAATGGAGAGTACCATTCACCCCAGTGTTAATTTAATGTAAAGTATGACCTATATATCATGCTGAGTTCTGAAACAGGTGCCTGAAGAAAGGGAAGGAACTATTTGAGTCGGCATTTTTGTCAAGTCAGGTTGACTTATGACTTTAATAAAAGGCGTGGGTCCCAATTTCAGGATTCCAGACCCAAATTCATGATTCCAGACCCAACCCTATGAATTCTAGTTTTCACCAGAGCTTTTTAAGTTTACCGGTCTGTTTCGGGTCACAACCCCCACACTAGGCACTCCTAATTTGGACTGCTTCTTTGGAGATAGGTATGTCCTATTCCTCCATACTTTTTATGGAATTGGGTCTGCTTTATAACGAGTTGTCACCATCGGTGTCATAAATCATCGTCTGCATGTACTATAGGTGGTGCCTTCCCCTACCAATGAATATCCCTTTCTTATGGACACCTTCAGTGGATAGGGGTAGATGGACCAAGCTGCAATTTTTCCCATTGGTCTTGGACTCATAGAGTCATACAGCATGGAAACAGACCCTTCGGTCCAACCAGTCCATGCTGACCATAACCCCAAACTAAAATAATACCACCTGCCTGCTCCTGGCCCATATCCCACCAAACCTTTCCTCTTCATGTATTTATCTAAGTGTGTTTTAAACGTAACTGTGCCCACATCTACCACTTCCTCAGGAAGTTCATTCCATACACTACCTTCTGTATGAAAAATTGGCCTCTCACCTCTTTTTTTTAAATCTCTTTCCTCTCATCTTAAAAATATGCTTCCCTAGTCTTAAAATCCCCCATCCTAGGGAAAAGACGCTTACCATTAACACTATCAATAACCCGCACAATTTTATAAACCACTATAAGGTCACCTCCAAACCTACGCTCCTGTGAGAAAACTCCCATCCTACCCAGCCTTTCTTTATAACCCAAACCTTCCATACCCAGCAACATCCTAGTAAATCTCTTCTGAACTCTTTTAGCTTAATAATATCCTTCCTATAACAGGGTGACCAGAACTTCTTGCCTCATGGATGACAATCCAGTCCATAGAGTATAAATGTTTCAAAGAGATGTGTACATGTGTCTGACAATTTTGAGCAGTTTGATTTTGGAGAGGGAGATGAAGCAGGCTGCAACAGAACATCTAATAATGAACTAATCACCTCCCCAGATTGTCGTAGTGCCTGTGTCACTGGGCCCTGCCTGTTCTAATGCTTGTAATTCCATGTTGCCCTCTTCATTGCATCTTTAGAACAGCCAGCTTGTTGTGACCCCTCAACTTTCACAGCTGGATCTCCTGGAGACCCAGGACCAGCCTTCCTAAGCCTGCCTTCTGTTCTTAGGATTTCCACAGCCACATAAGTAAATTTAACAGCAAGTGAGTTTTTCTGCGAGGTGCTGTGGTCCATTTAAGCAGAAATTATCCCTCTGCTAAAATGGCTACATAATCCTGCCAGCCCTCTCTAATTGGCTGAGCCCTTCCAGAAGGCCTGCAGTCACTGTCAGGGAACACAGAGGGCTTTGGCCCCAACTTGGCATGTGGCTTCATTAGAGCTTGCAACCATCCTTTTCAGTGGGACTACTTACATGGAAGTGCTTATGGATCCAACCGTGATGTTGTGCCTGTTGACCGGTGTCTGTATCCTTCGCAGCACAGGCAGAAAACACCCAGTGACTGAGTGTTGGAGTGAAACTGTGGGCTAAGGTCATTACAGCTCTAAGTTACCTGTCATGGTTACTGGTGCTTGTGCTTAAACAGTCTTTTCGGATCTTTCAGCAGTGTATCAAACTGCGCTCTAACTGATAAGTACGTCTGCATAGATACCTCTTTGGCGGATGAACAGTGCTTTCGCTGAGCCTGAACTGTCTGTCTTGCTCAAGATTTCAGCGTAAATACACCGTACTCTCAATCTGTCAGAGCCCTTGCTATTTGCCAGTCAGTCAGCACCTATTGCTGCTCCCCATGTTGAGATAGTGCAAACTGCAGGCGAGCTTTTTCCACCCAGAGTGGCTTGAGGGAATCCTACAAGGACATCTGCATTCTCTTCCATTGAACACTGGAAGACATCCATCAATAATGCTGCAGCCACTGGAATTAGGAGCATTAGAACATGCACAGGCATCACAAGAATCCGCGGAGCATTTTGGTTCATTATTAGATGTTCTGTTGCCTTAAGGTGACATTTAGAAAGGCGTATGTTCTAAAATTTGGCTGTTAAGATGTTGCAATGGTTTGTCACTAAGAGATAGTGAGCTTTATCACACTTGTACAGGGATTGAAGATACAAGTAGGAGTGTCAGAGGTTCTGTTCATTTGAGAGCTGGCTCTGAGGGAGCTAGATCAGTGTCAAGTACTCTCCACATGTAAATAAAGGGTGACTTGGTGATGGGATACCAGTCTCTCTGGTGTTATTTCAGAGACAACAGCCAAGTAACACACTATGGGAGAGAACTTTAGAGAGGAATGCCGTAAGATTTTTTGACATGTTGAATAAGCTTTTCTATGAAGTTCATTTCATAATTACTTCCTCGGCAATTACCAACTGGTCATTAAGAGTAGAATAATAGTTCTGTTTTAAGCTAAGATGTGTATCTTGTAGACATTCTTTGCTCAATGACTAATTCTTTTTATGGGCAACTGAAGGTACTACAGTTGAGTCACAGTAAAGGCATGCTTTTTGTCTAAAGTTATTGTTGAAGACTTTAGTGCTTGAAAGCACTGCTTAATTAAATGGCCTATTCCTGCTTCTATTGCCCACATTACTAATTCCTCCAGCAATTTGTTGAGAGGGAGAGATATTCAATAAATTGCAAATTAACGCAAGTTTGTAGACTTTGTCATTAGCCTTGTGAAAATGGCTACTTCACTTCAAGCATCTCATTAAATTGCCAATTAAATAATCATTGGAGAAAGTTAAGGCTGTTTTTTAACAGCATTTCTTCCTTTAATGACAAGGTCTCTGTCTGACACATAAAACAGCCAGTAGTGGATAAAAACATAGGAAAGTACAGGAATGGGAAAGATTATCACGGTGTCTCTGACTGGTTGCACTGCAAATCGAAGAAATATAAGACCATATAACACTTACCCTTCCAACATTTTTTTTCTGTAAGCAATCAACCTATTCTCTTCTGAATTTGCTGACACAACCAACTCCTGGTGCTTGTCTTGGCTGTATATTGTACGCGTTTGCCAACTACTGCATAAACTGAATCTAAAGTGCGTTGTCATTCTCCCTGTGGATTCCCTGCACTTCATGCCGAATATAAACAATTGAATAATTGGCAACGTTTCATGCTTGAATTAATTTTTTTGTATCTAATGTCTGGATCAGTAATTTTATAAAATAGGACTAATTGTAACATAATTTTGTTCATCAGTCTATTATGCGTGAAGTAGTTTATACTTAACTGAAGTAAACATGACTTGTGTTTCTGAGCATATCAGGGTACAATACATAATTGAAACATGAATTAGGAGTAAGCATGATGTATTTTAAAAGTCTTTTTCAAACATTTTCTCTGGGAAAAGATTATATAGCTTATTTTTAGACTAGTTCACACAATCCTAATTTACATAAATCTGTCTCTCTTTCTATCCCACTGAGAATCACACTTGCACAGTCGGATTTATTTATTATTCTTCATGGATAAGCAAATCTATCCTGGCATGACAGAATTGTTGTTCCTTTGAGATACCCATCCTTTCAACATGCAATTGGTTTCCCTGCATTTTTTTTTAACCATTGTTTATCTTTCATTCAATTTCTTCTATTGTCACATTTTTATTGCTTCCAAGTTACAACACCATATTTGGCCTTTTTACATTTGGACACACTACTCAACCTTTTTATTTTGACAACGTTCAGAGTCCAGCCGAAGCATTCTCTTTGTATATAATTTATGTGACTTATTGCCAACCAATACCGTGCCCAGTGCTCCAGTCACTTTTCACTTCGAGTCAATAAAAAGAAGCATCAGACAGATCAAAAGGAACAGCAATTTGCTATTCCAGTTTCTGTCATCACTGAAAATGAAATCTATCTCGGTATTTTGGCAGCTACATCAGTTCTGGTTGCAATTTGTTTCATATCAGATTACAGTGGTTTAAACTGTTCCTTAAACAATTTGACCCGATTTTCACCATGATGGAGAACATCTCTGCCATGTGAGAATCCCTGAAGAAGTAAGGAATTCCAATTTTTGTCATCTAAACTTGGCATTTGTCAGTTTCACGGGGGTAGAATTGGTGGCAGTCCTTAGGTCAAGCATGTGTCAGGATTGTGTGTGACTTGGAGGGCTGTGTTGTGTTCCCATGAATCTACTGCCCCTCTTTGAGGCAGTCTGTTGTGGGGTTGGAAAATACTATCAGAGGAGGTTCGTTGAACAGATCTTGTAGATGATATAAACTATTGCCACTGTCTATTGGCTGTGAGGGAACTGAATTTTGAAGGTTGTGGTTGGGATGCTAATTAACTGGGCTGCTCTGCCCTGCATGATATCAAACATTTTGAGCATTGTTAGAACGATATGCATTTAGGCAAGTGGGACATCTTGCATCATATTCTTGACCTGTGCTTTGTGGATGGTTGGCAGACTTGGGGCAATAGAAGGTAAGTTATTCATTATAAAGTTCTGAGCCTCTCAATTGCTTGTGTAGCTGGCCCATTTCAGTTTCTGGTCTATAGTAACCACCACCAAATGTAATGATATTGAACAATTCAGTGATAGAAGTACCATTGAACATTAAGTCGTGATGGTTATGTTATCCCTTGTTGGAGATGGTCTTTGTTTGGCATTTGTGAGGTGCAAATGTTACTTGCCACTTGTCAGTCTGTACCTGATGTTGACCAGGTCTTACTACACACGGGCATAGGCTACTTCAGTAACTAAGGAGTTGCAAATTCTATCAGCTGACATTCTCACTACTGACCTTATAATTGAGGGAGGATTTTTGATAAATTTGTTAAAGATGGTAAGATCTAGGGTATTTCCGTAAGTGAAATTTGTCCTTAAGGGACTTGCTGTAAATAATCAACTGGAAGATATTTTACTGGTAGTGTCTATACATTACGTATATATGTATAAAACTGGTAGTTTGGTGTTGGAAAAATACCCTGAGTTGTCGGGTTGTAGTGGTAGTGTCCCTACTTCTGTCCAGGCGGCCTGAGTTTAAGCCCTATCTGCTCCAGAGGTGCATAATAACATCTCTGAATAGGTTGTTTGGAAAATATCTACCCTGAGTGTTATAGAGGCTCATGTAGTGCAAATGTAGTGTCCATACCACTGAGCCAGGAGGCCCAGGTTCAAGTCCCATCTGCTCCAGAGGTGTGACACAACATCACTGAACAGTTTGATTTTTAAAAAAAATCTATTTTGAATGACGTCCTGGGGCTGAGATGATTGACCTTTAACATCTTTCTTTGTTCTGGTTATGACTCCAACCAACAGACAATGTTTACCCTGATTTCCATTGACTCCAGTTTTGCTAAAGCTCCTTAGTGCTATACTCTGTTTAATGCTGCCTTGATGTCAAGTGCAATTACTCTCATCTCACTTTGTGGAGTTCAGCTTTCTTTGTCCATGTTTGGACCAAGGCTGTAATTAAGTCAGGAGTTGAGTGGCTGAACACAAACTGATGATCAGCGAGCAGGTTCTTGCTGAGTAAGTACCACTGAATAACGCTTACAATTTCCATCACCTTGCTGATGACTGGAATGGTAATTTGGGACTGTGAACATTATCAAAGAACTGCCAAAGCTATCAAGAAGCTTTGCAAAAAAAAAACTGTATGGAGTTTTAGAAAATGTGCAAGGTATTTCAGCATTCCTGTTCATGTAAATGTAAATGATTATACGATTTGTACTGTATGACTGTTTTCTGAAATAATTATGTGCACAATAGGGTGAATTTTAAGTGAAGATTTTGAAAGCTCCAATTGCTTTTGGAATGGAAATGTTTATTTATGTAAGAAAGTGAGCACTCAAGTGAAGTGCTCATTTGCACAAGGGATATGAATGTATTAAATAGGAGCACAGTGGACTATTGGTCACTCAAGCCTGCACTACCATTCAATAAGATAATAGCTAATCTTTTTGTGTTTCTAACTGTACATGATCCTGACAACCCTCAATTCCGTTGGCTAATGTGAAGCTATCTACTTAGGTAAAATATTCAACAGCCTGCTTCACCTGCCTTCTGAAGCAGAGTTCCAAAATTGGACAATTCTCTGAAAGAAAAAAAATTCTCATCTCTGACCTGAAAGGGTGACCCCTCATATTAAAACAGTGCCCATGATTCTGACTTACAAAGGGAGACATTCTTACCAAATCCACCTTATTAAAACCATTCAGGATCTTACTCACTTCAATCAAGTCACCCTCACTTTTCTAAACTGCAGGGGAAATATCCGAATCTGTGCAAGCTATCACACAAAGGCAACATGCTTATTCCAGGTATCAATCTCATAAATCTTTTCTGAAGCACCTGCAATGAATTCATGTTGTTCCATAAATAAGGAAACCATATAAGTACATAATATTCAAGATGTCGTCTCACCAATGCCCTGCTTAGTTGAAACATAACATCCTTACTTTTATATTCATTTGCTCTCGTAATAAAGGATAAGATCCCATTAGAGATAGCAAGAACTGCAGATGCTGGAGTTAGAGATAACACAGGGTGGAGCTGGAGGAACACAGCAGGCCAGGCAGCACCAGACGAGCAGGAAGAAGGGTCTCGATCCGAAACATCAACTTTCCTGCTCCTCTGATGCTGCTTGGCCTGCTGTGTTTCTGCAGCTCCACACTGTGTTATCTAAGATCCTATTAGCCTTTTTGATTTACATGCTGTATTTGTACACTAACTTACTGTGATTCACACACTAGCGCACCCAAATCCCTTTACACCATGGAATTCTGCAGTTATTCTTAATTTAAGTAATACTCTCAGTTTTCATTGTTTTTCAAACAAAATAAACAATTTCACATTATATTCCATTTGACAGATTTTTGCCCACCCACTTAATTGACTTATATTAATTTGGAGCCTCATTATGTCTTTCTTGCAGTATGTTTGCCTTAATATTTTGGTATCATCTGTGAATTCAGCCAACATCTCTTTCTTCTCATTAAGTCACTGATGAAATTTGTAAAGAGTTGAGGTCCCAGCACAGACCCTAGCAGGAATCTACTCACCACATCCTCTCAACCAGCCAAAGGCCTGTTTATGAGATAGTAGGAACTACCGATGCTGGAGAATCTGAGTTAATAAGGTGTAGAACTGGATGAACACAGCAGGCCAAGCAGCATCAGAGGAGCAGGAAAGCTGACATTTCGGGTCTGGACCCTTCTTCAGACCTACTTATGCTTGCTTTTTTTCTGACAGCCAGGTAATCTTCTATATTTGCTAATACGTTACCAGCTGTATGTCATAAGCTTTTATTTTCACAAGAACCTTTGATGTGGCACTTCTCAAGTGCCTTCCAGAAATCCAGGTACAGTTTATCAATTGGCTCCCCTTTATCCACATGTTATTCCTTCAAAGCATTCCAATAAATTGATTAAACATGATTTCTCTTTGACAAAAACCATCCCAATCACCTTTTTATATTCTAACCAAATTGTCTCACCAATCATTCATCTT